CATGCCTTACTATAGCCTTACAAAAAAAATCTTTTAAAAATCCTTAGAAAAATTTTTTTTTGAAACATCTTCAGAAAAAAATATGTTGAAAATATTTTTTGATGTTTTTTCTTTCCTTCATGTTTCTCATGTTTTTTTTTGTTTGGAAACAGAAAAGTTGAAAAATATTTAGAATTTTTTTTTTTTAATTTTAAAATTTCTCTGTTTCTTTTCAGCGAAATCCTAAATTACGCATCTCATTTTAGTTCAGATAATGAATAATTATGATAAAATATTTAATAAAGTTTTCTTTCAAAATGTTACCCTTTCTGCATGTTTCTCATGAAATTAGACCATTATTAGAAAAATTGTGTTAACATTTTTTTGGAATTTCTCATGTCACCTTTGGTCAGATGGTGAAACTATGATGAAATTTTTGGGAAAAAAATGAAAGAGAAAATAGTGACAACTTCACACGAAATGTACCTGACTGCAACGAAGAGGATGATCTGAGGTCTGTTGGTCTTACACTTGGCCATGACGCTGCTGGAGATGTTGAAGGCAGAGAAGTCTGGAGGAGGAGGGATGTTGTAATGCATGGAGATCTGCAAAAGACACACGACATGTGTGATATCAGTGTGGTCAACACCAATACAGTTTTTGTGACTTGTGGCTAAGGACTGACCTGTGCCATCACACAGCTCTGACCCTCGGCCCTGACAGTGTATTCTCCTGGAGTCTCACTCAGCTTCTCCGACTGGTAGAGGAGCCTGTTGCTCTGATCTACCAAGAACTCTTTGTTCAGGCCTCCTGCAGATGTCACCGTCACTGTGGTTTGGCCTCCCTCACTGTAGGTGGATGCTCCATATTTGGCCAGAGCTTGCAGTGCCACCACAGTGTCGTAGGGAGCGGCAGGAATAATAAAAAAAAAATCAATCAATCTAATGTAAATGATTTGGTAAAGCACCAAAAAAATAAAAACATTTTAATCTTTACTGTCTTTCTTTTTTATTGCAGTTTCCTAGTAAATAAATCTGGCAATAATCTTCCAGTCTACCATATATATTCACTCTATATGTGGCTGTGCTGGTGTGTCGTACTTGTGTTGAGGAGAAGCCACCGTATGGGTTCTGCTGCTGAGCCAGCCAGCGGACGATGCTGGAGGAGTAGTCCAAGCCAAAGTTGGACAGAGCAGGACCAGAGTGGAGCGCCAACAGCATGTAGGAGGTCATCTCCACCTCCAGGGAGTCCAACCCCTTCTCTGATGCTCCTTTTCTGACTAAGTGACGGAGGCCATCTGCCAGTAAACAAAGGGACATCCTCTGTTACTGAACTCATCACAGTCAGTCTTTCAGGCCTTCATTACAGCGACCCAATGAAGGTCCACAGCCCACGGGTTTACACTATGTTAATTCTTTTACGATAAGTCTTTGTGTAAATTTCCCTGCAAATTATTCTATTCTTCATCAACTATTAAGACGCATTTCCTTGTCACAGATATTAAAAAAAGTTCAATTTAAATTATTTGTTTTATTGTCTTTTTTGCCCATCTGACAGAAAATGTGTCATTTGTTGTCACCAAAAAACACACGACTAACACGAATGTGTTGGACGGTTCCCCTGTCTTACTCTCAAATTTAGACGCCTGGTTCAGGTATGTGATGAGCTTGCTCCTCATCTCCTCGTCTCCAGCCAGAGTGAAGGTGTAGGACAGCAGGGCGGTAGTGTACAGGTTGTCCATTTGTTTGTTCGCTGCTGCTTTCAGACACATTAAACCCCTCCCCACAACAGGATCCTGTCAGAAAACAGGCAAAAATCAAAGAGGATTTTCAACAGGAGAGCTAGCGTAGGAGTGTGTGTGTGTGTGTGAGAGAGAGAGAGAGAGAGAGAGAGAAAAGACTTTTAACAAAAAGGACGAACACTTTAACTATGACCAGTTAATATCGTTGTTGCTGATCACTGCACAGTAGTTTTTCTATGGGATGTTTTGTTACATTTTAGTTCCTGGCTAAAGCAGGTTAAAGGTCAACTCTGTAGCCCCGGCCAGTAGGAGGTCGTACTGTGACAATGGTTGCTGTAAAACGTGACTAACCGTTATGCTGTCATTCAGTTCGAGCATGGCGGCGATGATGTAAGCAGTAAGTGACACGTCATCGCTCACTCCACCCTAGAGGAAATCCAGGAGAACAACAGGAATGGCAACACAGTTTTAGCATCATGTCAGACTTTTAACAAAACCAACATTTTCAACCTAATGAGTGAATGAGTCAAAACAAAATAAAACGACAGCATTTCTAAAATAATTATATCATTCTGTCCAATTTCTTGAGAAACAGAGTTTAAAGTGTACAGATTCTAAATCTTTTTTTATTATTATTTATGGATATTCTGTATGATTAAGACCAGTTTAAATCTTGTCCTAAAGTAGAGTTTTTATTCCACTCCAACCTATTCTAGCTCAGACAGACATTCATTTTGGTTTCATTATTAAAAACATGATTAAAAACCACTGAGTTAAGTCAGTGTTGAGTGGAAAAGATTAAAAAAAGTCTGCTGAAAACCCCAGGGAAACCTCCTTTATCCACAACAACAAAGGACTAATAATAGAGGTCGCTGGCTTCCCTTAAGCCAACCCTCTGGTGATGGAAGTGCTGCTTTTAACAAACACACACATGCACACACACACACACAGACTTCACTCAGATTTTGGCTACAGTGTCTCTGTGTTTTGTTTGGATTATTTCCTCAGCAGCTTGGAGCAGCCTTGAGTCTTGAATGAAACCTTCTTTTTCCTGAAGTGACAGACTGTTTATTCAACACGGTAAAACATCTCACTTACATTCAGAGTAAAGACGTTACCTTCATGCCATTGTGTAAGAGCCTTCCAACGGAGTGGATGCAGCCGTCAGGATCCTGGTGCATTGACAACCAACTCCTGGCTTCGGCAATGTGACGTGGATCTATAAAGATGTACGGTCTGGCTCCACCAAAGGACTTCATCACAAAAGCGGTCAGCCTGAAAGGTCGCACACATTCTTACATTTTGTATGTGAAATGAGCACGGGTGTTTCTGTGATTTACCCAAGTACTGACCCAGATCAAGACAAAAACCCAACTGACCATAAACCAACAGAATATACATTTAGTCTCAGCTGCTGAAACAATACAGGGTTTTTCAATATATTATATATTTTTATATACGAATTATAAAACATTATATATATATCATATATTATTTTCTATAAAGGTCAGAAATTTCCATAAATACAAATACATTATATATATATATATATATATATAGTATATGTATATATATATATATATATATATATATATATACACACATACATTATCTGCAGTATGACAGCAGTGGGAGAAAGCTTGGCTGTCTCGTTAACACTGTTTAAACCCAATGTTCTGATGGAATTCTAATAAAATCAAACACTTCGGAGCCCACCGATAAACAATCCCACACCCACATGGACACAAGTCGGCTGCCAAACTGCCCAGCAATATTCACGGCAGCGGTCCAGTCCCTGCAGGCTCGCTGCAATAAGCCTCTTATAGAATTACATTCAGATTTCCTGGCATTCTCTTAAGAAAGTAAATTATTAGGTTTCTGCCAGTAATTCAACACACACACACAAGCAGAAGACACTCTTTGTCTGTGTGTTAGTGTTCGTGTGTGTTGGGAACATAAGCGTGCCATACTCTGGTACGCTAACGTTTGATCACAGTAAAAACCAAACAAATCTCCAAAAAAAAAGTTTCTCAAAAATGACTAAAAATGCACTCATTTGTCTTAAAATACTTAGCTATGTCCATTTCTGTTGTTAAAATTCAGAAAAAATATACTTTTTTGGTACGTCAACTTT